GGTTTTGCGGAAGCGTCGTAAATACCGTGGGTTTCGGCTTTGGCCAAGAACCCTGCCAGCTCCTGATTGAAAGCTGTATTCCTAAAACAGATTGCTTTCACCGTCATGACGATGGTGAGGATGATGACGATCATGATGATGCTGATGATCATGATGTTGATGCTCCTGATTACGACGATGTTGGCAAGCATGATGATAACGAGGTTGATGTTGTTGCTTGTTCATGCAGGGGATAACGAAGGAGACGCTGATAACTATGATGATAACAATGGCAATGACAATGTTGCTCCCTGTCGTTGCTCTTTTCCTGTTACGTGTCAGGCGGTCCCACCAGAAAAGTCTCGCGTTTTGCGGGCGTTCCAAACAAAAACTTTAACAATGAATGCAAGACTGAAGCATCAAAAAACGAACAGCATGGTATTCACAACAATTTCGCAAAACAAGCACAGTCACTACTAACAACATTGAAAAACAAAGGGCAAAACATCCTCTTATTCACGAAGAAAACCATACACAACTCGAGGTTTTCAGGCTCTTGACCAAAAAACAAAACAAAAAACAAGGACACACCCTCCGCGGCGGAACACGCGACAGCTACGTTGTTGTTGCTATTGTTGTTGTTGTTGTTGTTGCTGTTGCTGTTGCTGTTGCTGTTGCTGTTGCTGTCGCTGTTGCTGCTGCTGTTGCTGTTGCTGTTGCTGTTGCTGTTGCTGTTGCTGTTGCTGTTGCTCTTGCTGTTGCGCTTGCTGTTGCTGCTGCTGTTGCAGTTGCAGTTGCAGTTGCAGTTGTTGTTGTTGTTGCTGTGGTTGCTGTGGTTGTGTTTGTTGTTGTTGTTGTTGTTGTTGTTGCTGTTGTTGCTGTTGTCGTTGGTAGTGGTGGTGGTGGCGGTGGTGGTGGTGGTGGTGGTGGTGGTGGTGGTGGCGGTGGTGGTGCTGGTGGTGGTGGGGGCGGGGCTGGTGCTGGTGCTGGTGTTGCTGTACTTAATGTTGTTGTTGCTGTTGTTGTTGTTGTTGTTGTATCTTTTGCAGTACGAGTCAATGTTATGTGGAGGTTAAAATGCATGATATGCTAGAGAGGCCAAAGCCAGAAGCCGTGCAACAACAGCACCACGAATATTCAAAAACCGCAAAAGCCAAAAAAAGGTGCCAGCAAGATGGCCTGAAGTTGGAATCCGCTTCTGCTTGGATCCGATGCCTGAGCATGCGGACCGAAGTGGGAACACACTGCTTGCAGTCATTGTCACAGAAGTAATCGCGGGTAGCAGCTACGGCCTGTTGTTGAGCGATCCGCACGTGCTGCACGCGCGACCGTTTCTTTGGCTACGGAGAAAACTCCAGTGCATTCCGAAGCACGCCGCTGCAGCTTCCGTGCAGATCTCTCATGCTCCAAGAGGCGCCTGACGAAAGTGGATTGGACCTAAGCTGGCAGCTGGCAAGTCGTTAGTGTGGGCTTTGCATGGTCCGTGCGCCGTGCGATGCCGTGCGCCAGTAGTTGTCATATTGTAAGCTGGAAACATGCGGTACACTGCCAAGCACTACCCGTACCCGTGAACTTCAAGATCGAGTGCATAATGGAACCTTGCATCAGGCCGAACAAAAGAGAACACTCGAGGCATTATACCCTAGGTCGCACAAAGCTACAGAAATCTGGAAGCACGAAAAATTTCGACACCCCGAAATGCTTCCTTCCTGAGAACACAACTTGCTGAGCTGTTTAGGCTACGTCACAGAAGGTGCATCTCAATGTGACTTTGATCCCTGTGCGTGCACTCCGTCTTCTTTCCATGCTTGCTACCTACACTTCTCTCGAACCCTCTAGCCATCGCAGTGGCAAGCGACCACATGCTTTTGTTAAGCAGTTTGGCAGGCGCAGGGGTTTGCAGCAAAAGCTTCCTAGGCAGTGGAACAGCCTTCGGTGCCTTTGCAGCGCTTGGCAGCCTACTCACATCTATACAGGATGCTGAAACAAAACTTTCGCGGACCCTCGCGTGGCCAACCATGTCCTTGGGCATGTCGCAACGCGAAGACGTGGCTGCCAATTTCAACACAGCATGAGGGCGCATGCCCATAAGTACAAATCAAGTAAGGTGACTTTGCCGTTGCTTGTGCCCGCAATTCGAGATAGTGTATCAGTGTGGCAGTGCCGGTATACTTAAGTGTCTGAAACTCGGGCTGTCTGCGAGCACTTAGGCGTCGCAATCAAGTTGCAAGGCTCGCAGTCACAGGTAAAATGCGAAGCTAAGCTAGACAGAAGACACGCCCAACTGGCTTGCCAGTACTGCTGATTCACCTGGGCTGTTGAATCTCTCACGGCATTTTGGGCACAATGCACCCTTCTTTGCAGAGGCCATCGACCAACGAGCAATGCACCTCTCATGAAAAACATGCCGGCATGGAAGGACGGCTACCTGGCTGTCTGGCTGAAAGTCGTCTAAGCAGCACGGGCAGGTCTTCTCCATCTCTGCAGTGCTGATCGCGATGGCTGTACCGGACACGGTCGTCGAGAGCCATTCAACTGTGCCCTCTTTGTTTGTGATCTGCACGTGCCGGTATTGCAAAGGCTGCGTCGACAGCGCACTGAACTCGCAGCTGGCCCACAGGCAGCTACAGTCTTTCGCCATCTTGGCACTGCTATCTCCTCCCGTTCGGCCGCATGCTGTCGCAATGATCCCCAGGAGGAGAGCACAGGACAGTATCACCGTCACGATTAAGCTCGGCAAACTTGCTCTGCCGGGCATTGTGATGAGCAGGATAATCACGACGCCGACGAGGGATAAGAGCGCAAGACTAATGGCCGTGATGACCGTCGCCTTTGTGTTGTACTCAGTGAAATACGACATGGCACGCATCACTCGGGACATCTTTAGAGTCGAACAGAAATGGAAACCGCAATGAGATCCTGAAAAGAAGTTCACTTGTTCACAAATCTCTATGATCGGTACGCACTTATGCTGTCCTCCCTGAACCAAGTGCAGATTGGAAGTCAAGGTCTGCGCTGGAATGCGCAGGGAAGAGAATGGCGTGATGTGCGTTTCTGCTGGGTCAAGGCTCCCGTCAGTTGCCAAGCAAGCTTGGTCGACTAATTCCTACAGAAAAGCTTGCAATCGCCTGTCACACTGTCTCGGCACAGTTCACTCACCCACGACTAGGCCGTGGGTACCTCACACCAGTCACCAGCCGGACCCACGAATTCCCGCCCTTCCACCGTACACCAAGAGTGCTATGGGCTATGGCTCACTGTGCGCCCCGCGATGTGGTCATCCGCTCCGAGGGTCACGATCGTCGGCACTTTGAGATCCTGCCATTTCGGACACTACCTACTTGCGGCGTGCACAGTAAAACGAGAGTGAAAGTCGTTTCCGGTTGCTTCCGCACCTACTGGGATGAAGATGTGAATTGTGCGAATTGTGCGGATTGCGCGTGCGTGCAGCATCCTCTAGATCACACAACAGTCGGCCCCAATCGCCACAGGAAATTCGAGTTCGAGCTAAAAGCTGGGTAAGGCACAGCACCTGCAAAGAGATGCCCTCTGAAAAAATCTGGCTGGACATCCAGAGCCCAAAAGACAAGCTGCAGGTCCTCAGGCCACATAGAACTTTGCTCCCAGAAGAAATTCCGGCAAAGCAGATTCACCGTGAAAAGCTCGCCTGCGGAGTGGGGGGGGGGGGGGGGG